TAGAGGTTACAGTGTAGGTGCAGTGTAGGCGCAGGCTAGGTGGCAGCCTTGGAGAAGGCATCTCTGAATGCATGTAACACTATTAGACATGAAGGGAGGCGCCATTGGACTTGGCGAAAGAGTACAAAAATGAAAGGTGTCGCCATCCCCGTTGGCGAATAAGAGGTGGCATGGGTTGCAGAGTAGGCGCAGGCTAGGTGACAGCCTTAGAGAAGGCATCTCTGAATGCATGTAACACTATTGGACGTGATGGGAGGCGCCTTAGAGGTTACAGTGTAGGTGCAGTGTAGGCGCAGGCTAGGTGGTAGCCTTGGAGAAGGCATCTCCGAATACATTTAACACTATTGGACATGAAGGGAGGCGCCATTGAACTTGGAGAAAGAGTACAAAAATGAAAGGTGTCATCATCCCTGTTGGTGAATAAGAGGTGGCATGGGTTGCAGAGTAGGCTCAGGCTAGGTGACAGCCTTGGAGAAGGCATCTCTGAATTCATGTAACACTATTGGACGTGATGGGATATGCATTCACACAACCTACGTTCCAATATTATCTCAACGAGATCCGTTTGTCAAATCCGGAAGCCGGTAGATGGATCGATAATATTCCGGTAGAAAATCGGACTAGGTCATACGACAATGGACAAAGATGGGGCCACATGACAACAAACCTAATTGAATCGATGAATGGGGTATTCAAAGGCATACGAAACCTCCTAGACACTGCTTTTGTTAAATCAACATATTTTAGGATGGCTTCGTTGTTTGCCAAAAGAGGTTAAATGTGGAATGCGGTGTTGCAATTTGGACAACTATGGAGTGAAAGCTACATGAAGTACATTAAGGCAGAATGTTCCAAAGCCAACACCCATATGGTTATATGGTTTGACCAACACAGCCATAACTTCATTGTCAAAGAGACAATCGACCACAACGAGGGTCTGCCAAGACAAGAATATAGGGTTGTACTACCTTCTCGTTGGTGTGATTGTGGCAAGTTTCAAGCCTTTCGTATGCCTTACTCTCATGTCATTTCCGCGTGTGCCTATACTCATCAATACGCTCTACAACTTCTATCACACATTTACAAATATGAAACATTGCTCAATGTTTACAACAACAACTTCCCTTTGGTAGGAAAACCAGATTATTGGCCTGCATACGACGGCAAAATAGTATCGCACAATGACCAAATGCGAAGGAATAAAAAGGGTCGTCCCAAAAGTAAGCGCATTACAACCGAAATGGACTCCCTTGACATGCTGGAAAGAAAGTGTGGTTTATGTCGTCAGGCCGGACACAATCGCAAAAATTGTCTGAATCGGGCTACTGCCTCAACCATATAAAAATTGTATTACAAAAAATCTTTCCTTTATTATGTTGTAAACATTAGGGTTTTTTGTTAACAGTATTTGTTACAATAAACATTGCACGAACAAGAAAAAAAACACGATAAACCGTCTACGAAATTACAACCGTTAAAACAATTTCATCTGACCCATGCATCATCAACATTACGTCGCTGTCTATTTTGACTTCCTCCAATCAAAAATTAGGTCTTCCTGTCGCAAGTGAGGTGTTGTTCGTCTTCGCTAGATCCTTCTAATTTTCCCCCCTCCACGATGTCTCCCTCTAGCCATCGCATCAACTCCCTCTTCACACGCTCCATGGAATGAATGTGCCAGAATTTCATTTTCATCGGAGGTTTTATGGCGGAGAAGATAACGTAACCATCTCTGGTAAAAATCATGGGCGATGTCATGATACAAATAACAGAGTAAAAAATAAGAAAACAGTGCGAGAAAGCGTGAGAAATGAGGAAGAAACGGACCAATTATTTATAAAAACAGCATTTTGCCCTAGGAGCCAAGTGAGATGGCGCCTTCTCTCACTTTTAAAGTGCATGCGCCATATCACTTGGCTAAAAGAGAGAGGAGGAGCCAAGTGAGATGGTGCCTAGGGAAAACTTGTGAGTGGAGGCGCCAAGTGAGATGTCTCCTCCCTTGGGGAGTCTTCTGAAACATGGTTACTTGCGTAATTTTTTCCGAAACATGGTTATTTGTGATATTTTTTTTAATAAATGGTTATTCCAAAAAAAAATTCTTATTTTTCCTTTATTAAAAAATAACTAAATAATTTTTATCATTAATCAAATTATTATTTTTAAATCTATTGCAAGTTTGATTTTCTAAATCATAATGTGGATCTAATTTTATATCTTTCCTTGTAAATTGTAGTAACAAAAATCCTTTTCATTTAACCAATATTTATTTTTCTATAATCGACATTTATTTTATAAACTCTAAATTTAAAATCCGTCCTTTTACTAATTACTTAAAAAATTGGGATAAATAAATTAAAACTTTTTTTATTAACTTTAAAATATGTTTACTAACTCTAATGCTATTTTTTCACTTACATATTCATTCTATTATTCACTTCTACTTCAATTTTCCATCTATAAATCAAACATTAAATTTGAATCAAAATCTTAAATTACAATCAAATATCAAAATCCATGCAATTCATCAAATATTTCATCTGCAAGCAACACGTGGACAATATATGGCCATGTGATGAGAAAGGCTATATAAGACTTCCTTTGCATCCTTCACACCAAGCAACACGTTGACAATATCTAGCCACGTGAGGAGGAGACTATATCAGACTCCCCCACTCAATGTCTCATCACACTCTTTAATCGAATCAAAATATCAAAATAGCTAACCAACAATAAACCATTTTTCCACTAACATAACAAAAACTCAAGATATTTTCGAAAAAGGGTTAAGGAGAATTAATTTCAAGTTTAACTTTGAATTGCGTCTACAATCACTCAATTTACAACCCAGACAATGTTCAAGTATAATTCTAAAACAATTCTACGCAATCCTATAAAAAAACACCAACCAACCGCGAACTACAAACTGGGACTCTGATTCCTCCTAAGAGGATACATAGGCATACGACTAAAATCGTGGTGAGTTCCCCTATTAAAAATTAAGACCCTTTTTTTCCCCTAATTAATATTAAAACTCTTTTTCCTAAAAAATACGCTTTTAACCCTAGTATCCTTGTGAATAAGGTAGATAAGGGGTGCCTAACACCTACCCTTCGTCTAAAACCGAGTCAACAATCTAGAATCTCTATAACTTTTAGGGTTATTCCTTTTGAAACAACCGGATGAAAATCATCAAACAATGAAGTCGCCATCGAACTTCTTTTATCCCATACGTAGGGAAAGGTAAACATCGAGAAAACCTGAGAAAGGAGAAGTCACGGTCTTGCGACCGAGGGATCGGGTAAGGGAGTCTGTTACGCGAGGGGAAGGTATTAGCACCCCACACGCCCGTTGTACTCTATCGTATCCACTCTTGTTATCTATCTTATGGGTGTGTTTAATCTATGCTTACTGTTTACTATACTACTGAAGGGAGAATGCATGCGAAAGAAAGGGGAAAATGTAGGGAAAATAAAATTGTGCTCGCTTGGGTCCTACCCCAATGCCTACGTATCCTTTTTTGAGGAATCAGAGCTACCGTAGTTCGGCTCATATGTTTTTGTTTATTTTGTGTTCTTTATGGACGAAGTTAATTCCGCCTTCTGCCGCAGCTCGACCTTTGGAGACTTATGCGTTGGCACAGAAGTAAATTAATCACGCCCTTAGTTGAAAAGGGTTTTAGAGAAAAGTGGTTGAGTGCATAAAAGATTTGAATTGGTTTGTATTTTGTTGCAGATAACGACTAGTTGACCTCAAGAGAGAGATATTAGCCACTTTTCTACTTAGCCATGAAAGGAGTCTTTGAGAACTGAACCACACCTAGACTTGAGATGAAGAACAATAAGATCGAGAAGAGACCCGCTTATCATTTCCCATACTAAGCAAAGGCGTGATTCTCATCAGTAGCTTTAAAGTGTTTTGAATTTTGAAAGAAAAAAGAAGTTTTAGTTTTAGTTGCATATGCAAAAAGGGAAAGAAAAGTTAAAGGGGGACTAGCCTATTTCTACACCTAATGTTATTATGCAATGGTGGTCCTAAGGTTAGAATGAAAGGGGGAATTTCTACCTAATGTTTGCATGTATAGCTTGTAGTAAAGGCCCTACTTCTCATGATTTCTAGAAAAGCGGTAAAGAAATGCGATAACGTGCAAAAATGAGGGATAAATTAAGGTTGCGATGATACTGAACGGAGAAAGTCTATTGCTTCTTCAAAACTGCGCAAGCAGTAAGAAAATTCTACCAAAGCTTCCTTGAACGAGTGATCGAAGAATTAACCCCGAGCATTCCATATTGCAAAAGTTACATCGCTACTATCACAAAAAAAAATCTTGACTAAAAATGGCAATAAAAATGATTACCAAACATGAAAAAATGAAATATTGAAAAAATCTAGTTGAAATTCTAAAAAGAAATTCTAAAGAGTTCCAAAATATTCTACTATTTCGTATCATTCTATCACCAATTAATCAACAATTAATAGGAAAAAGAAACTTAAACCAAATATTAAACGAGAGATGAGGTCAGGGGGTATAGTATTGAAATCAGGGTGTATGACCAACATTGGGGCACTAGTCCTATCAATAATGAAGTCCAATTAGTTTTTTTTTGTGACAAGACTCCAAGCTCTAAAAAGAGAGGCGCGGTATGGGCTCAAAGGAAGTAAGAGCTTCAGTCCAACACCATTACATTTTCAATTAATATATATTTGAATAAAAAATCCGAAAGGGAATAAAAATGTGAAATTAGGGTTGCAGTGTCTCTTCATCTTGTAGGAGAAATACAGTCTCCTTCTTTGACGAAATGCCGCCGCAGGTAAAACATCATCTCTTCTTCGCTTAACAAAGACCATTCGCCACCGACTCATCATCTCCTTCACAATTTCACCTCTCTTCATCCAAGTGGCGTTCTCCTCAACTTTCTTCATCTCACTTTTGAAGCCTCAACGTCGTCACTGTCTTGACATTATTCAACTCTTCCGCCACCGTTCGTCCTAGCGACAACGCCATGGCTCAATCGTTCAATGCTTTGAAACTCTGTCCTATTCTCCCTCAGCTTCGACTCAAACTCAACGGAAAAAAAGAAATTGCGAATGAGATGAAACACGTATCGACCGAAATACCGATCGCGGTTCTTTGAACTGGTGAAGCTGATGAGAAAACCCATAGAAGCCGCGATTCAGATATGTTTGATTTCGCACTTCCGTTTCCTTCTTATTCAATTTTTGAGTGTGAGTTGTGATGTTAATGTGTTGTAGAGGTTGCGGTTGTTGATTGAAGTTGTGCGATGATGTTGTTACAGAAGCTCTAAGATTGACGAGTTGCAAAAGTTTATTGATGAACTACAGAGAGGGAAGGTCGTAGATGATGATGATTAAAGATTGAAGCAGAGAGTAAAGATCATGGAGATTATGCAGAGAATCTATGTATTAAATCTGAGAGAAAGATGAAGATTTCTGGTGAGTTCTCTTAACTGATTTTTCGGTGTTTAAGAATGAATCGTGAATTCTCTCTGAGTTTTTTTTGTTGAATGATGATTGTGAATCTGAGACTGAATAACGATATCCCCCCTTGCATCTGTGAATTCTGTTATATATTATATTGCTATGAGATACTTAGTTAGAGGTCGGTTCGAGAAATCAGTTAGGTTTGTTAGAAAATGGTTATAGGAAGAAATAATTATCTAGTTGGTTAGGGATTGAAAAAAAATCTGTTAGAAAACAGTTAGCAGGTTACTAGAATGGTTAGAGGTTAGGAATTAATTAGTTGGCTTTGTAATTCTGGTATAAGCTATTAGCAAATTTTGTTTTTTGGAAGTTGGAATGTTGCAGGTTGGTTGTTATGAAACAGTTAGTTGGAAATTCTGTTATCTGGATTCGGTTAGGCTGTTCATTCTGTTATGACAGTTGGTTAGAGGTTTAGATGGTTAGAAACTGTTAGGATATTGTTAAAAATCAGTTTGGGAATTAGTTATGCCAAATGTTAGGATGACAGTTAGGAGGTTGTTTTGTAAGGTTGATTACGGGCCTTATTAGTTTTTTTTTCTGTTTTGGAAATAATGAACTGGTTTTCATAGCATGATTTTGAAGATCAACCATCTAGATATGCTCTTAAATGAATTTGGCAGCTTTTTATTTTTTTACTCAAGTGCCACTGTTTTGGTCTCTTTTCTTGATTGTGTAGGCTGTTTTGGAGCAATTTGAAAGCATGGACAATTCAAAGCTGAGAATTTTGATGAGACAAGGATACAATACGCTTCGAGCTTTGGTCGTGAAGGATGAAGATTTAATCAAGAGGGTGAAAGCCAGGGGCATGAAAACTATGGAGTTTATCATGGAAGGAACATGAAGCTATACATAATGTTTAGATCTTGTAGGATAATATCTTGTAATTCTTTCCTCTTAAAACCTTCTCTCAAATTGTATATTCCTTTTTTGAGTAACTCTTGTATGGAACTTGGACTCTAATGGAGAAGCTTCACATATTTCTTTCTTTTATTTCAAATTGAACTCCGCTGACAGTTTGATAGTGTGATGAAATTAGGAGTATTGAATATCTTGAATTCAATATCAATTTTCTCAAGTGCTCAAAGTATTGTCTTTTATATTTTCCATGGAAATTAACTTTGAATACTCCTTTAATGGGGTAAATGCCAAGCATAATATGATTCCATTATTCATGTAATGCCAAACACTCCATAGTCAGAATGAAAGAGACTCCCAAAAGACTTCGTTAAAGATTGTTTTAGCATACTCCCTTTGTGATGTATAGCAACATAAGTAGCCATGCTTGAGCTTGAAATAAAGACCTTTATAATCAATGAGGAAACACCGATCCCGAGCGACATGGTGTATTAGACCTACCACTACCTTGTGCCATCAATAATAAAACCCTAATTCAAACATATGACTTCCTTGTAAGTAAAGTTTTCATCCATAGCATCTTGATTCAGTCTCATTCCCTCCTTCGCATAATGACTTGAAATCCGAGTAATGCCATAACCACTTTGGAGTCTAATTCTTATACCAAACCCACTTTGGAGCATAATGAATATTCAATTGAATTCAGAAAACTCAACCATGATGAAATGTAAACCCTAACAACTCGCACCCTAATTTGTCTGCTTACTGAAGTAACTCGGAAAGGTGGCTTTGTCTTTTGATGAAAATAAGTATCTTAATAAAATAGGAAATTCCCAACGACCATGAACACAAATTCTAATCCCTCAAACCCTGATTGATAAAGAACCATGTTGATCCAAGCTTGTATAAAGATGAGAACCTAAAAGCACGAAAAGACCAAAATTCCTCAATATCCTCAATCCCATGCCAAATTATTGACCAACGATGCATGACGTGCAAAATGACCTAACGGAGGGTATGTAGATGGAATGAAGAGTGTAAGATGCATAAGCTAGATAAAAGCAAAGGGGTAGGACAAATTTGGGGTATTACAGCTGCCCCTATTTAATCGTCTTAAACTTGAAAGTACGATTGGCGCGTGCCTTTCGGAAGTTCAAGGTTGAAGATGATTAAATATTAATGCCAAAAATTTGTCCTGGGAGGAAGTGTGAGCATTTATTTATTTTTGTGGTATCAGCTAGAATTTTTGTTTTTTTTAGTGAAAATACGGAGGTTGGACTTGTAACGTGGCGTGATTCCAATACAAGACAAAGGTTGGTACGAAAAGACAGCGGACAAGGTCTACGGGCGACCTACGATCCTAAGGTGAAACATGAGAGTGATTTGACAGAGAACCTAGCCTAAGGGCGATCTCAGGTTCGACGATAATCTAAGGAAAAACCTAGCCAAGAGGCGATCTCAGGTTCGACGGTGATCTAAGGAAGAACCTAGCCTACGGGCGATCTCAGGTTCTAGGATTATCTGAGGAAGAACCTAGCCTACGGGCGATCTCAGGTTCTAGGATGATCTGAGGAAGAACCTATCCTACGGGCGATCTTAGGTTCGACGATGATCTGAGGAAGAACCTAGCCTACGGGCGATCTCAGGTTCTAGGATGGTCTAAGGAAGAACCTAGCCTATGGGCGATCTCAGGTTCGACGATGATCTGAGGAAGAACCTAGCCTACGGGCGATCTCAGGTTCTAGGATTATCTGAGGAAGAACCTAGCCTACGGGCGATCTCAGGTTCGACGATGATCTATGGGAAGAACATAGCCTATGGGCGATCTCAGGTTCGACGATGATCTAAGGAAGAACCTAGCCTACTGGAGATCTCAGGTTAGAAGATGATCTAAGGAAGAACCTAGCCTACGGGCGATCTCAGGTTCTAAGATAATCTGAGGAAGAACCTAGCCTACGGGCGATCTCAGGTTCTAGGATGATCTGAGGAAGAACCTAGCCTACGGGCAATCTCAGGTTCTAAGATGATCTGAGGAAGAACCTAGCCTACGGGCGATCTCAGGTTCTAAGAAGGTGGCGGTATTGGTCACGACACGATAACAAAAAGGAAGACATCGATCATGACACGGTGGTTTGAAGAGAGGTATCGATTAGGACACGACAGCTAACAGGAATTCATCGATCAGGACACGATGATTAAAAGGGAGGTAGCATGATGCAAACATAAGGACAGAGAAGACTTGTAACATGGAGTGATGCCAATACAAGGAAGATATCGGACTTGTAACGTAGCGTGATGCCAATACAAGAGATCGAACTTGTAATGTAGCGTGATGCCAATACAAGAGATCGAACTTGTAACATAGCGTGACGCCAATACAAGGAAGGTATAACACGGACGAGTGTTTGAATCAATACGGATGAGTATTGAAAGAAGATACGAACGAGTGTCAAAAGGTTAAACACAGACGAGTGTTGGAATCAATACGGACGAGTACTGAAGAAAGATACAAACGAGTATCAAAAGATTTAACATAGACGAGTGTTTGAATAACTGGAATGGATGAGTGTTTAGGAAACTGACACAGACAAGTGTCGGAATTGACACAGACGAGTATTGGAAGACTGAATTATTTGTCTCATGGGGACTGGCCACCAGATGAATACTGGATTTAGAATGACAAAGTGTATTGATTTTATTGGAAATCCAGGGTACAAGGTAGTGGCACTGTTAGTTGGGCATTGTGAAAGTGTGGGTCGCCGACTGGGGGTTTTAGGAATGATATTCTCTTGTAGGGACATATTGTTGTTCTTGAATGATTCAGATCTTTCGCGTAGGGTACCTGATATGGCTTATGCTTTGTATGCATGTTTGAATTTATTTTTCCATAAAGATCTGTGCTGATGGATCGGCTACGCACCTTTGAGGATGCAATTTTATGTAATGATAACTATATGCAATGCGAAGAAATAAACTTCATGGGGATAAGCAAAAGCTTGTTGGGAACCATTGCTCATCACTGGGGATGTCAATACATATCAGCGCTAGAAGCCTACAGTTCTGAAGATCACTAGGGATACTGACAAGAATTTGCACTGGGGAGTACATAATACCGCAGATTATTGATGACTCTGCTGAAGATTGAATTATTGATGAAGAGAGTCTTTAGGTACGCTACTGGATTTTGAATCGTGCCATTGGTGAAGAGATAATCTGGATAGACTTCCACACATCCTGAACTGAAGAAGATTGGTAGAACTGAATATGCCGAAGAATGGATACCGAACACCATGTGGATCTCTTTGAATGCATGCCCCTAGTTTACGCACACTGGGGAATTGCCTTTTGAATCACTTGAGAATAAAACATGGGCATGAACACCTATGAGTGCCCCGGTTTAGTTCTGCGATTGCCCCGATTTGGCTATGCAAATGTCTCAGTCTAGCTTCACTAGGGACATTCTTGATTAACTCCACTGGGGATACACTTGCACGTGCTGAATCAAACGATGACTCCGAATTTTCTGAACTCACTTGGGGAATCAGATTTGAAATTGTTTGTAGCAGATGAAGGCAACTTCGTGTGCTGGCTAGGTCAGGGCGACCGTTATGATGCTTTTAGCTTGATTCGTCTCGTACAACATAATTGGCTTGAGCAACTTTGCGAGTACGGATGAAGTATGTCCCTGTCTGTGGGATCTATGAGAATATGTGCTGAATAGAAGACCAGAATATCCATGCCATAATACGGTATGAGGTGGCCTTCCCCAATGTCTTGAGCCATGAAATAAACTGCTCCTGATTACAGCTTTCTTGGAGAGATTTGTCGAATCTCGACGTAACTGCCCCAGGTTGAATGGATTCTGAATAGATTTCTCAATGTGATAGCCCTTGATTGATGGTAACTTGAAGAGATTCATCGACGTGATAGGCTCTGATTGACAACTTTGAGGGAATGCCCCAGATTTGGATGAACTCGGAGAGATCGACTCTCGACTTGATTTCCCCAGATTGGCGGAATCTGCTAACTTCATCCTTGAAGGGTACTCCAATTGTGAAGCACCAAGATATTTTCTCTGGACAGAAACACTGGTTAACATGCCCCTGGATAAGTCATTTCTCTTGTGGCAGCTGACTCTTGCTTCGACAGGGTATTCAAGCCTCTCTTCTCTGACAAGATTGGGATCTTTACCAATTGTTCATTGTGTAAACTTACTTGATGTCGATTGTGATCGGTGGGAATGAGAACTGACTGTTTTTTAATGTTGGTTCACGTTTTGCGTTTGTTTTTGCAAAGTGTCGCGGTAAGCAAGAGTCGCCACCGTCTTTTATTTTATCCAACAAGGGAAAGGACAAAAGCACAGAAAAATTCCTTTTCGAGATTGTTTCTCGGGTTCGGGAGGTAGATTATAGAAAGGAAAGGTGTTAGCACCCTTTCTATCCGTGGTTATCCACGGTCTCTTAGGTACTTGCTCACTATGTTTTCAAAAGATTGCTTTTCTTTGTGATTGTGGGTTTGAAAAGAGTTTTGTTTTGTTTTTGAAGAAAGTGTAAGTGCGAAAAGTTTTGTTTTGTTTTTGAAAGGAGCAAGTACCTAAGAACATCTACCTACTCAAAAAGGAATTAAATTATGCAAACGTCCTTTAGACAGTGCTATCCCACTATTGAGGAGTATGTAGCACTTTCGTTGGAGTTTTCGGGTCAATTCGATTTTAGGGACTTGTGGTCACTAAAGCAACGTTAGGACGCCTTAGTGGTAATCCTAATGTCTTACATCATTTTTCCGAGGCAACCATTTCGAAGCAACTTATGATCTTGGGACAAAAGGACGACCTCTAAAACATCTTATACTTAATGACCACACTTGAGGCAACCAAGTGAGGTGTACCCTAGGAGTGGCATGTGCAAGTGTGTCAATTTTCAGTTTATATCATCTTTGTATTTTTAGGTATTCTACCATTTGTTTTTAGATCTTGCCATACAATCC